TATTTTTTTCTGGCCTGGACTTTTGAATTTACCTTATAACAGAGAACATATGTTTTTGGCAGATCGATTACCAGTTACTCTCGATAACTTTTTTGAACAATTCCGATCGAATGGTGTCATATACTCGATAGGTATGATTGTATCGAATTTTATTGTCGAATTCACTGTTGAAATCAAGATCTATTAATAAGGTCACCAAGATAGCAATCGAAATCGGAAAACAGCTGTTTTTTCTCAAGTCTAATGTCAAAAATTTCGACTTTGTTTACGTTTTCATAATGGAAGTCAATTCACAATAACGCATTTTGACAGCAAACTTAAGAGGTATCGATAATCAGCTGGTCTCCCTTGGTGACCTTATTTATAGGCCATGGTTGAAATCATCCTGGGGGGTTACTCTGTATTGCGATGCGTAAGAAAAATTGTATCGCATCGCGTAATTGGTACTCTCTAATTCGTTTTCGCATCTACTTTACGCATCACCGCAATCTGTAATACGAAAACGCATGTCAAACTCGTTCGTTAAACGCAAATATCTTGCGTTAACAAAATAGCAAACGCAAATGAAGCGAAACATGTAAATAAGCACAATTAAAGTTTTTATTTATATCTAAATTGATAATTATTTTGGGTGAAAGCCAAAAAAAGTTACAGTTGACGACTCAGCCCGTCAGTTCCAAACTTTAGTAGATTTTATGGTGCAACACAGCGATTTGGCAAGGGGCCAGTTGCAGAGTTCAAATGCGAAACGACGCGCCAAAAAATTGTAGAGAAAACAGGATGATGACCTTAATTCAGATGGAACTCCTGTAAGAGATGTCGCTGGTTGGAAAAAAGTAATGTTTTATTTTTTATATGTATATAAAATGTGAAACTATGTGTGCATATTTACAGGTTGGTGTTGATAACCACCTTGTCCAAGCAATTTCAAAGCAGCGGCCACTTTTATTGGAGTTGGAATTGCTGTGGATCCATTTGGAACGACGAGGTCATTTTTAATAGCGTTTATTAAAAACATAAACGCATCTTCATTGAGACGAACATTTTGTACAAATTTATAAAAATTAAATATTTGAAAACGTTTGTCACATTATTCGTACTTCTATTTTCATACCCGTGTTCACTTAGGTAGAGTATATTTGATCGATCTCTTAAAATTCTTTTTGGCTTAACTCTAGATTAGTAAAAACGATCAGATTTTTCTGAAATTTTTTCCAGATGTAGGTATTTTTACCCTAATTATGGGGATATATTTTTTTCTTGGGGGACGTACCCGGTTACCCGGTTATTTGACCCGAAAGTTCGGGTCCGGGTACCCGGTTCTACGGATCCGATCAATACAAAATGGGTATCATTTTAAAGGTTATAAAATTTTGATTTTGGACCCCTATTTTTTTTGAAAAACTCCCTAAAAGTCGAACTTGGGTCCATTATAGTCCCTCTCCACAACCGACTCAAATGATAGACCACAATTTGCCCTTTCCAAAAGGGTGTGATATGTGGCTGTATCTGCTGTGGATCAAAAGATATGGGCCTTAGAACCCTACAAAAACAAGAAAATTCTGTCGCGTAGCCGGTGTTGGTATCTGTCCATAGGAGAAAGTCTTAAATCCCCGGCCGAAGGCCGGCTACCCAGAAAACTATTCTATATAAAAGGAGATTCTGTCGCGTAGCCGGTGTTGGTACCTGTCCATAGGAGAAAGTTTTAAATCTCCGGCCGAAGGCCGGCTACCCAGAAAACTATTCTATATAAAAGGAGATTCTGTCGCGTAGCCGGTGTTGGTATCTGTCCATAGGAGAAAGTCTATATAAAAGGAGATTCTGTCGCGTAGCCGGTGTTGCAATCTGTACATATGGCCGAAGGCCGGCTACCCAGAAAACTATTCTATATAAAAGGAGATTCTGTCGCGTAGCCGGTGTTGGTACCTGTCATATCTCATATCTTTGCATTTGCATATAAGACATTCATGTTAATACTAAACATGAATTTGACATAGTCGGTTTGCAGGGTTCTAAGGCCCATATCTTTTGATCCACAATAGATACAGCCACATGCCGTACCATTTTGGAAAGAGCAAATTTTAGTCTATCATTGACCATAATGGACCCAAGTTCGACTTTTAGGGAGTTTTTCATAAAAATAGGGGTCCAAAATCCAGTTTTTTGGCTGTGACTCCAAAACGGTTTGAGATAACCCCATCATATCACCACTCATTGGAAAGGTATTTTTATAACCTTTAAAATGATACCCATTTTGTATAAATCGGTTCCGTAGAACCGGGTATAACCGGGTACCCGGATCCGAAATTTCGTGTCAAATAACCGGGTACGTCCCCCAAGAAAAAAAAAACATTCCCATAATTAGGGTAAAAATACCTACATCTGGAAAAAAATTCAAAAAAATCGGGTCGTTTTTACTAAACTAGAGTTGTTCCCAATTTTTTGACGTTTCCTTTTGTCATTCTTCGTTATTGTTTACTTTGTGGTGCTAGTGTTGCCCTATTTTCGATTTATTTTGCGAATGCGTATACGTGAGCGATACAGAGTACCAAATTGCACTCTTAACGCATTTAGCTTTCGCAACGCAATACAGAGTAACCCCCCTGTTGTTGATATTCTACCTGAATTTCTTCTTGGCAAAGTAAACACATTTTTTACAATCACACATTCATTGTTGTCCTTTATTTAATTACATAAACTATAACTAAAATTCATACAATAAAAAATAAATGTATGTACGTTACATGTTTTCATTCATTTTTTTAAAGGGAAATAAATGGAATTTATGTAAAAAAATAAAACAAAATAAACACCATCTTTAACTATATAATAATAAAATATCGTTTTTTTTTATTACTTTATAATTTATAAAATGTACACACACATATTACAAAAGTATCCTTAACCAAATAACTCTTTGATGCTTTTTTCGCTAAACAGTGGAAAGTGGAACTAATTGATTATCGTGTTTTTATTATTATTTTATTATAGTAATAGTAGTAATAAAAGTACCTAACATTAATTTAATTATTCATTAGTTTTATTATCTTCACTTATTTGTGGTTAAATCAATTAAATAAACCAACTGTTCTCAAAAAAATATTCTGAAGGCCACATCGAGATTTCTTACACAAACACCTGCACACAATTGCACATGCCATTTAACATTTACAACATTACGGTGATCATGAATGGTTGGGAAAATTGAATATTGGAATATATACTTGGGATAGTATTTTCCCATGTTTTAAGTCCCAATTAAAAATATGAAAACACCAAGAATTTTTCAATGTAAGGTAATTGGCATAACAATTAGTTTTTTGATCACCGTATATACTATAACAGCAAGTGTGTATTGATATGTGCGTGTGTGTCTATATATTTACGTTTGTTATTGTATTTATTCAAAAACTCCTTTCATTAGTATTCAACTGGTTTTGGGTTCTTTATAATTTACATTAATTTGATTAGTTTTCTTTTTATTTTGTAGACGTTTACTTAGCCTGCTAAAAGTATTGATTTTTTTATTTCTTTACTAAATTTATTTATATTATGTATATCTACGCGAATAAATGTATGCTTGTTCTTATGTAGACGACATTTAGGAAATTTCAGTTTCACTTAGGTCTATATAAAACGGACATAAATATGAAAATTTTTTGTAGTTATTTATCATATTGGTGTTATTATACATAAATATTTATATGTATGTGAATTTGTGGATTTTGTTGCTTATTCGTTTAGACGACAGTTTTCATCTGAAGTGTTAGTTTATTTCACTCTGACAATGCAATAGTTTCGTTCTATCGTTCTTTTCTTTTCCAGATTTAGTAATTCCCCTGTCAACATTTATCGTAACAGAATCCTCCTCGTCATAACAGTTGTACTTTTTGATTAGCTGTTGCTGAATTTAGCATTCAGCAAATTTTAATTATATCAATATTGTTCTAACTATGTCCAAAATAAAAATAAAATAAACCTAATTCTATATAGTTCCTGAAAATTGGCAGAGTTGCATTAATGAAAAAAAAACACATTTCAATAAGTTTACCTCAATACCCCTCTGAAACTAAAGAAAAGCGCACATTATATCAACTAGTGTAATTAAAATAGAGATGGTCATTGTGACAGCGAAAGATTGTTCTAACCATTAATACTTCTGTCAATTAGATTTGAATTTGGAATTTGTAATTGGCAAAACGAAAATTTGCCACATGCGATGAATTCGAAAAATAGGCAACACAATAATGGGATTAAAGGCTCTTATTTCCGTCTATAATTCTGTATATAATGTTCTTTCCTCACTACTACACAATCACATTGGCCGTCCATGATTAAGATTATTATCTATACATATATATAATATATTATATAAAAATATATTTTGATTTAATTTGCATACAGGATCATTTGCAGATAAAGAACAATTTTAATGTTGGAGTCGATTCTAAGCCTTTAACACGCCACCTTTATAACAATGAAAATAAATAAAAATAAATCTAACTAAACTACAAATAGGATTATGAGATGGAGGGAGATAGTAGTTTGCTACAGAAATCACTTGAGACAATTTCGATCTAAGGTAATGCACTTGAAAAAGAATGCTTGCTATTTTTGGAAAGTAAATATTTGAGTACTCCAACCTGGGGAGTGATCCAATTCGTATGATGTAAAAACTTATCATTACTATTCGTTTATGCCGTAATACTCGGTGAAGGAGAAGCAGATTATGTTTGGCTCAGCCAATATTGGTTGCTATACTACGGAGCTATCAGTGGCCGGGGCTAGACATCAGTTTTCAGGTATACGTCTGTAGCCACCCCCTGAGGACGACTGGAGATTTGTGACTGAGTTTACACTTCCGAAGGACGATTGTGAGGCAGACGTATACATTGGAGAAAAGCTGCTAGTATTGTCGAAGATTGCTTCGTCCGGATGATAGCTGGTGGCGTTTGTTGTAAATGTTGCGTGGGGTATGATGTTTGTATTGGTGGGTATGGTTGTTGGATCGTTTCGAATTTTATGTGTTGATCTTCGACGGGAACCTTGCATCACGCCTATTTAATCAAAGATAACAAAAAAATTAAAGAAAGAAAAATATATTAGGATCCGATTTTACGACTTTTAAAAACAGTTGTAATTGAATTTGTATTTGTAGGTTTGTGTCCTTGTGTCAATAGAGTTTGTTTTTGTGTATGTTTAGCGCTATAAATGTTTTTTGTAGCTCTGTAAGAAAATATATAGTGTTAAATGAATGGTAAGTTTTTCAATGTGATATTAGACGGTGTTAAAGCACATACAACCTACAAAACGCTATACAACACAGTACATGCAAAAAAATATATAATTATTATTTGTTTTTAATTTATAAATTACTAATTTGAAAACAAAGCAATTCTACAATAAATTCTTGCTATTACGTGTTTGTAAAATATAACAATACGAATTTCTTATCCGGGCAAAGTTGGGTAATGTTTGAGTTTCCCTCAACGTCATTTTTGTTTTATTAAATATATTCCAGCTACATTCTTTAAAATATGCCAAAAATTTAACTTGATATGTTTCTTCAAAAATTCACCACAATCTCTTGGGCTGATATTGCATTTAAATCTGAGGATGTTGAGTATATAGATATTTTTACTGAACTGAGTCAATTCGAGTTTTTTGCCAAGAAAACATTTTTACATAAAACCACTGTTTTTGAACACACATTTTCCTCAAACACTTCCATTACATTCCTTCCGTTATTGCCTAACTCGACAATTCTTCCTCGAGGCAGTCCAGAATCCAAATGGTATTTTCTCTTTGGTTTCTATTCAATAACAATGGAAGAGATAAATACGTATAAACATTTTACCGTAAAAATTAGTATGAATTACACGAAAAACCCGTTTATTTGTTCATACAACACTATTACTTAATTCATGTCGTCAGATTCTATTTTTTTCAATCTTATTGTTTCTTGTTTTACACTAAAATTTTAACATATTTGTGTGAATCACATGCGGATCTAAATAGAAGAAATAATTCTCTTCGTCCTGAATATAGTATGAGCCCATATCTATTTACTTTTAATTCAAGTCTTCCATTTTTTCAGAAAATAAATACATACATCAATCAATTCAAATGTCACATATAAAAAATTGGAGAATTTTTTTTTTTGGTTTATCCCATATTTTTTCTTGTTTTGAACACTAATTAGAAACAACGGGAACGAAATGCATATTGCATTCATTAACTAGATAACAAAATGTACATCTTTCTGCAAAAATAGATTTTTTTACTTTTCATTCATCATTTTGAAAATTTTATAAACATTTTCATGATGTTAGGGATGGGACAAATTTCTTGGTTATTCAGAGAGTGATTGGAATTGAACAATGTACTAAAGTCGGTGTTCGCTCAGACAAGTTTGTTTGAGAAACTAAGTAATTACTGCATAACAACGAATGAGAGTGTGAACAACGCTTGTCTATACATGACATTAGGAAGTACCGTTCGATTCGATATTTAGGATTTTTTCAGTACATAGATTTTTTGGCATTTACGGTTCTTGGTTGATTGAAAATCCCGCAGCGCCGAAGCCTATTTTTAAAAGCAATATTTCATCTTCAGCTTTTTGAATTTACAAAACCGATAAAAAGAAGAGTTCTAAATTATAAGAAAAATTGGAAAAAAACTATGTATACATTTTGAAGAAAATAAGTGACACATTAAAAAAATGAAAACACTACATATTAAATTGCAACTAAAAGTGAAATAGGAAAGAATTTTTATAAAATAAATTCTATAACAGATTGATCTTGAGGAATGAATGCAAATGTGTATGTTTCTAATTGGTAATAAACTACTGTGTTGAAGCTGGCGATAGTTTTGTGAGTGCTTGGGTCTTGTCTGTGTGTCAGCATCTTTGTTATCATGTGTGTGATTTTGTGTAGAGTGAATTGAATAGATAGAATAAAACATCAAAAAATAGCAAACCAATATTAATTAAGGCAGGCAGGCATTTTAAAGTAGGCACTCATATCATTTCTATGCGCATTTTTGTTAGATTGGTTTCATATTCCACACACACAAAAATTATGGATGTCAGTTTAGCGTATACGTTCATGTTTTTTCTGTTGTGAGTTTTCTGTTTTAACCGTGAATCTGTTTTCATTTTATGTCAATAAAGGCAAATGCTTACAGCATTTTCTTTTCTTTTTCGTTTTTTTTTTTTTCATTTTTCTTTTTTGGTAAGTTAAAAGTTCGTTTATATGTTATTTTTTCATATGGTATTGGTTTTGTTTCTATCATGAGGCTTCAGTTTTTAGTTTTTTTTTTCGATTTTGTTAAAATCTTACAGTCGATAGCGATGTTTCTTGTACTTTATATGCTTCACGTCGAAAATTTTCCAGTTTAACTTTGTTCATGGGTGCACCTGCAAATAATGGACACAAAAACATATTTGTTGTTGTTGTTTGTACACAGAATGATAAAAATGCGATTATTGTTTAAGGCTCGTCAAATAATATATAATAATCAAAAAATAATACTGTAAATATAGTTATTTTTGTAATCGCTCTATTACTATATATATTGGCCTCTACATATTATTAACAATAAAGTAAAATTTCCTAAATCACAATTTACAAATAAAGCAAATTCCTGAAAAACTCTGTTTTTTTTAATTCAATTGTAAATTAGATTTATATTATGTACTTTCAAATCTTATTTTGAAGTTATCATTCTTCCTTCTTTAATTAAGTCGTCGAGGTGGTTTTGAAAAACATATAATCCCCTTTAAATATTTACTTAAAATTCTTATTTACAAGATCCCACTTTTAAAATAATGAATTAACAATAATCACCTTCATTATTATTATAATTTCTTCCCAAAGGCAGCATTTAATTATTTTGAAGAATTGTATACTAATTATATTGATATTGAAATCCGTAGACTGTGGCTTTCTATGTACTATATATGTATGAAATTCTACTCTATTGCTGCTAGGTGTGTCGTGAACATCTGTATGAAAATGTTTATTGCTAAATCGAATGATTTTGCGATATTTACACATTTGTTAGAATAAGAACAAAACACTTAAAGCTAACGATTTTCCTATAGACATTTTTTAGTATTAATAACAAGGTTTTCCTTGATTTCTTCTATGAAAGCTTGGAAAACATACACAACTTTTACACGCTACACATTAGTATTGAGTCGACGACAAGACAATGCAGATTATATTTTATGAAAAGATGCTGTCAGTAGAGTGCATTAAATCAAATATCATTTATATTTACTTACCAATATAGCTAAGCAGTACAGGTAAAAATATTAAGCCGTGGGCTGCGCCAATTAATACTATTCCTAAATACATTCGGAAGTAGAACACCTGGAAGATTTGACTCTTCGCAAAAGCCAGAACTAGAATACCACCAAATTTCGTTAGTGTAATGCCCGAGAATATCGAACTACCCATTTTCGTAAGACAGTCAGCAGCTCGTTTTTCTCGGGTACCTTCTGTCGATATTGAAAAGCTGTGGACTAAATGTGAGCAGAATTCCACAGAGATGCCAACTGCCATGACAAGGTTAACCAGCGATACTGCGTTCAATGAGATGTTCCAGTAGTACATGTTGCCTCCCAAATTTATAACGATCATGGTGATCGTAATAACAACAACCAGCGACGAATGTATGTCGAAGCCCATCAAAAGGAATGTGACAATGAATATGGCCAACACCGATATACCCATACTTTGTAGGGTATCGGGCCACATGGTCAGATATTGCTCATAGAAAACGTAGAAAACAGAATATGGAAATACTTCTACTTTCAGGGCATCCTCCAATGGTACACCCTGAGACATTAGTCGTCCTTGAATCATGTGCGTGATGTTTGCCGATATTTTACGGGCTGAACGCAGCGCACTGTAGTAGTCAGATGACGATTTCAAAATAGTATGATAGGCCATGAAATATGAAGAACCGACGATTGTTTGATTAGTGTCTGGCAAAACGTTATAACGTACACCGGGAGCATACACAGCATGTCCAGCTTTAGCGCAGTTATCATCAGGATTGTCTTGCAAAAAGAATGGTAAATATTTGCCGAAATCCCGTTCGTCAGGGCGATGCAAACTATTACGATTAATCACACAGCTTTCACAGGAGTAATCTAAAACGAATAATGAAAAAAAATACATAATTACTATGAAACTTTCGTATATATTTTGAAACATATGTAGTATTCGCGCAAACAATTGCCAATGGACCTTAATTATAAAAAGACCACTACACATTTGACGATAAATTTTTGTTACGTACAAACATGTTGCTTTTCAGTATTCAAAAATATTCTAATTTACCATTTTTAGATAGTAAAACGTTTTGTCGTACAAAATAAGATATCATCTCAATCATCAATATTTTATATGAAATTTAATTTATGTATGTAATTAAATGTTCATCTTACCTTGATGTGGACAGAAATCACCAGTATCAGGGTGGTATTTGCAACAGGACGAAGCTTGACTCCAATCAAAGTAATCATCGATCCAACTAGATGCAGGTCGTGCAATATACGAAACATTAGATCGTTTACTCGACAAGTAGATTTGTGTTATAACACTGTCATCGTTGCAGAACTGACCCGAACAAACCAAATTCTGATCAAATGTTGTTGAAAAATTCAAGCCAGATTTTAACACGAAATAAACTGGGGGTCCAATGCTAAGGTACTTGTTTAATGATTGGAAATAATGTAGAACGAAGCTATCTTCAGGCATCGAAAGTTCCTGATTCAATCCAATTTCAATTCGCGGTGCTATGGCTATACTGGAACAAAGCCAACCGAAGAATACAATCATGACAACAACGCGTACTGTTTTCTTCATCAGGAATGGTACGTAGACACTCTTAAAAAATTTGTATAGCAGACCTTCAGTGATGGGAGCAGCATCAGTCTTTTTGCCGCGTATGAAGCAGCAGACATCCAAACGATTCTCCGCTTGTCGCTTTGTATCCAATGTCAATAGACTGACAAAACACGTGATTTGCAGGAGAAAATCAATGAACAGGGCCATACCGGCGTACATTGCGAATGCCTTTACAGCCGGCATATCAGAAAGCCCGCCCAAAAAGAAGCAACAACTCTCACTGACAGAAGTCAACAGCATGGAAGGTCCTACACGGCCTAGTATTCTGCCAATATGTTCTTCGTGAGTCTCGTCTGCTTTGCGGCCGTCGCGTTGATAGGTTTGTACCAAAATAAAAATGTTGTCGACACCAACAGCCAAAACCAAGAATGGTATTACTTCGACAATGATTAATGTGGCCGGCACACCTATGTAACCGAAGATACCAACCGAGGAAACCACAGAGGCCAATACAATAATGACGCCGCCAACTCCCAATGTTATCTTGCTGTCGATAAAGGCCCGGCCTATCTCTTGTACATGTCCCAATGAAATGGCTATGTACGCAAACATTATTAAGTATGACACCAAAATAGTGAGGACATCCGATTGCGATCCGCGATTCAATTCATCTTCAATAGACCGTTCTGAGGTAAATGCTATGTCCATATGTTTGCTCATACGCGTCTTCGTGTAATTAAGCATATAATTAATATAACGTTCTTCCCATTCTAAGGTCGGCCCCAGTTTCTCCTTATCGTGATAGTTTCTAACTAAGAACGTCAATATTAACGCATTGGCTCGTTCATATTTGGTACCTGGGCCAAGTTGTTCTCCAGACTTAAGGAATCCTCCGAGAGCAATAGCCGGATCCACGATACCTCCGTAAGGTGCCAGACATAAATAAGGGTTACTCATGCACTTATACAATTCATCCAGATAGTTGACCTGAAAATTCAACACACAATTAATTTTTTTTGTTGGCCTTCTAAAAAACATTCATAGTTTACCTCAAAGCCATTATCTTCATCCTCATCGTCTAAGCGTTCCAAGTCGTCTTTGAAATAGCCCCATATCGACTGGACAACACAATTCGTTGTTTCGACTGGCACAGATTCCCCTGCCACCAAAGGAGCATAACAGATATCTTTCAGCATTGTGGCATTATCGATGTCTTTGCCCAAATTTTTTATATCCTCTTGTAGATTATAGACATCGATCAAAAATTGTTTGTCAAAAACTGGACCGAACTGCAGTGGTCCATTTGAGGTGTTATGTATAATATCAGGCAAATCCACAGCTTTGATAATAATCTGTTCAAGCCTATAGAACGGTTCGAAATTGGAATCGAAAAATTTGCGTTCGACACGTGAGCGAGATTGTGGCGAAGCCCACAACTCTACAGGATCCGTAGTAACATGTAGGAACTTTATGCCACTACCAAGAGCAGCAACAACAATTAAACCTCCCAGAAGTGTTAGCCAGGGATATGTGGCAAACAGTTTACCCCATGCCGTAAAGAACTCCTCAAGATATTTTTCCGTTTTGGCACCCAAGTGTTCAAAGTAGCCAGAATCGGACTCGATCACGACATCAATACCATCATTGTGCGCCCCGTCCACTTCGTTGCCGTCAGCTGTGTCAAAAAATATAACAAAATTAATATATTGTTAATTTGAACCTATTCAATTGCAAATGTAATCCAGATTCAAAACAACCACTAACAGTTATTCAAATGTAAGCAGATACATATATTAAACAACATCTTTCCGGCAGATTAATAATCTGTTTGCAAAGCTGCTGAACATTTACAGATATACCCAATAAAAATGAAAAACGGACAGTAGCACAGTTCTACATAAAACAATTTTATGTATACGTGAGAGGAGACACCACAGTAATACAATGCGATTGGAAAAGGATAAAGCCATTAGAGTTCAGGTTAAACATAATAGTCGGTATGTGAAAGATATGATATATTTTTTAAACTTGGACAGATTTTGGTTTTCATTGTTTGACAAAATACGTGATTGAATGAATGTGTGCTGACCTAATTGGACAAATATCGTTTGATAAACATGGTAGATTATATAAGGAATACTTCACATTTCGGTAAACAAAAAACCAGTGAGCGGAGCAGTATAGTCGGACGGGGCCGACCATACGATACCCTACACAACTACCACGAACTCTAACTTTCTGAGGATGTTTATTCCGAGTCTAAGTAATATTTCATGATATTTGCCCCCTCTTGTCCGATTAAAGGTTAACAACACCTCTTCCTTACTTTTTTCGAATATTCAGTACAGTCCTTCTAATTACTTGTCCAGATTACCTTCCCGGTGGGTGTGTTGTGATTTTCGGATTATACTCTACTCGAAAATACACAAAAAATTATGTTTTCGGTCCATTTCATCCCAAAATTTTAATCTGATCATCACCGAAAATTGTAGGCGTTGTTCTTGACCATAGGGTCTATGTCCTTCAGGAGTAAATATATACGCCATAGAATACAAATTTTGCGATTTTTCACACCGATGCGATTTTTTATACCGATCGTCATATCTCGACTAGCTGAGTCGATCTAGTCATGTGTGTCCGTCCGTCCGTCTGTCCATTATAATTTGTAAACACGATACAGGCCACAGTTATGGACCAATGTTCACGAAATTTTGCATGTAGGATGGGTTCTGGCCAATGAAGACCCCTATTGTTTTTGATAAAGATCGGTTAATGTTTAGGGGTTGAAATGGACCAAAAACTTTATTTTTGTCGGTTTTTCTGGCCGCTCCACAGGCCGCAATTATGGCCCAAACACCTCGAATTTTTGCATGGAGAAGGGGATCGGGCCAAAGAAAAAGCATGCCTGATTTGATAAAGATCGGTCAATATTTAGCGGGTCAAATGGACCCTAACTTTTGTGTCAAAAACTACAAAAATTGTATTATATAGCGTATATATTTACCACTGAGGGACATAGACCCGAGAAGTTGATAATATATCCAAGAGGAGTGGTTGACCTTTAAATTGATACCAATTTTATTGTCGTAGGTACTCGGATGCGGGAGTTACATTTAAATATTTACAGGTGCTTACGTATTCATATATTATTTAGTAACCTATTACCACACTGTAGGGCGGAAATATAGCGCTGATCGCTTTGAAATGTTCCTTGAGGTTCCAGTTATGGTCAAGGACAACGCCTAAACTGTTAGGTGATGATCAGTCGAAAGCCGAACATCACAACACAACCTACGGTGAAGAGAACCTGGACAAATAATTAGAGGGGCTGTACTGATTATTAGTAACATTTGTTGACTTCTAGCCAGTCAAAAGTGTGCAAATATCGTGAAATATTGCCCAATCTCAGAATATAAAACCACAGAAAGTTAGATTTTCATGGAAGTTGTGTAGGGTATCGTATGGTCGGCCCCGTCCGACTATACTGCTCCGCTCACTGGTTTTAATGTTATTTATTTATGAGCCAATAATACGCAATGTACATAATTTTGTAATTAATTCTACTGATACTTTTGTATGTGAAATATTGGTCTAAAAATTTGTCTGTCAGTTTCTGTTAAATGTATATTGAATACATATTTCACTATACTACTATTCAATCACGGTTTAATTTAGACCAACTGTTGAATGGTATAAATAATAAAATAAAATTGTTGACATTGTAATACACATAGAAAATAAAGTACATTGGAAATAGAATTTATAACGACAACGTTTCAACGTCATATCGGTTTTAACGGCGGTATCCAAAAGTCCCGAAGTACTGGCTTTTGCTTGATATCGCTTATAACGACTATCGCTTACAGCGACCACTTTCCCCGGATCATTGATCGTCGTTATAAGCAATTTCGACTGTATGATTTTAGTTTGTTTTGGGAAGACAAGCCTATTCTTCTAAGAACACTAAAATAATCAATTTCAATTCTACGGATGTCTATGTTGAGAACGATTACTTGTATGTATGTATAAAAACAACGTTCCTTGTTAGACTTTTTCGACCAATAGTTCTACTTTCGTCGGCAATAAATTTTTAGAAATGATAATTTCCATGTATTTTTAGACAAGCTACAAAACTATTTACATTACTACAATATGTTAACAAAAATATATATAAAAACCAAAAATAATACAAATACTTCTTTAAAAGAATACAATAAATAAAAATTATACTTTTTTGAAAAGCTAGAATAGACAACAACATTATAACAATGAAAACAATACAAAAATAATAGACAGGCAAAAGCAGACTTTTAGGCAGACGACGTACTAAAGTGTGTAGAATATGTATGTGTTTCTTGTACATTAAGTTTGGTGTGTATGTGCTAATATGAGAATAGACGAAGTGAAATTTGGGAATGAAATGATATAGGATATTGATTTAATTTGCAAATTGTTTATCTAATAAAAATACACAAAATTTCGAATATTCACATAAAGAAACAAATTAATAAAAGAGGTGCCACCAAATACAATAAACAAAATATGTTTTGTGTTAGTTTGTGTTTTGTTTTACGCATTAAATATCAAACCAAAGACGTACTGGATATTTTCGATTGCAGGGGCGAATCCTCCTCTGGAGCTAATTCATTGTTGACAGTGTGACCACCAGTGTAACGTCTGCCAAAGGACGTGTTATAACGGTTATCCATCAAACCTTCACCTACCAAAACTAAATTGAAGAAATGTTTTTTTGCCAATCATAATACAACAATAACATAATCATATACAGTGATCATTACAATTTAAACAACAACAAAAAAGGGAAACGTCAAAGAATAAAATTACTACATTTATCTGCCGATGATATAAAAAAAATATTTAAAAATTTAATGATTCTGATCTCAAATCTATTCTAGTCGTTTCCGAATGAATTAGGAAAAGTGGTAACATAATTATTCATATAGATTTTAGATTGATGCATGTTATGTGGGAGGTGTATGTATAAGTATATCATATGTTTGACGAAATGTTAATCCGAAATTGTATGAATTCAAATTAATTTATTAAAAGTTAATATTCATTTGAACTAGAGGAAACCTTTACATTTATTAAAATTATTCTGGTGGTATTGAAGAAAAGTCTACAATATACATTAGCCCTCTGAGGTTTCAGACATTGGATATACGAAAATTTTTTATATGCGTTTAAGAATATTGTTTTAATATTGTTTTGTGTTTATTTAGAAAAAAAATAGCGCCACTGCTTTTAAACGGAACCATAGTTAAAATGTTGTTTCCTCTAATAAAAAACATTCGCCATGTTCAAAACTCTTTAATTTTTAATCGTATTATATAAAAGTTTCAAGAACATGTTCGCACTACAGATTCCAAAAGAAAAGTGATCACAAAATTGAAATTTGACGGATTTGCAAAATTGCTCAGGCTCTAAATTGTTCAAAGTGGAAAATATATAATGCACTTCAATACATTAAGCCATCGGCGCGATTCGACCAATATACAGCAAGATACTATAAAAAACGCCCATTTGAATCGTCAATTAAAAGTGAGTTATGCATTCTTGTGACGAGCCGCACAATACGAAATATATTGTAGGTAGCTGGGCCAAAGAAATGTGTCTCTCGTGGAAAAGGAAATGCTCTAAAATGACAAGGTATGCAGGACACTGATACCAAAAACAGTGCCAGAATGTTAAATCTTGAATCGCCAGGACCATTGGAACACCTCTGGGGAGTCTTAAATAAATTAAAGGCTTTAAAAGTAAAAAAATGCATTTCATAAACCTTGCGGGCTCCATGCCTCGTAAATGCCAAAAATAAAAGGGGCTTTTACCAATTATTGAAAACCCCTATGATTTAATGGTATTTAAAAAAAATAATGGTATAAAAAAAATCTAATTATATTTCGCAAAATATATATATATATATATCATATTATTTTTTAAAGATTTTTTTTTTTTTTTTTTTGAACCCCTTCAATTAATTAGATGCATTTTGCAGAAATTCGATTCGATGAGAAGCAAAAAAAAAATAAATTGTCATTATTTGCATTGGATTATTTTATTTGGGGCTATTCTCAGTTTGTGGTAAAGAATAATTATCATCTCACCACCACTCTCAAGGAAATTATTGAATGCATCATTCACAAACTCAGAATAGCCCCAAATAAAATAATCCAATGCAAATAACGACAATTTATTATTTTATTCTTATTTATTTATTTTTTATTTTTATTTTATTTTTTTTTTTTTTTTGAAACCCCTTCAATTAGTTAGATGCATTTTGCAGAAATACGATTCGATGACAAGCAAAAAAAAATGTCGTTATTTGCATTGGATTATTTTATTTGGGGCTATTCTCAGTTTGTGGTAAAGAATAATTATCTTTTCACCACCACTCTCAAGGGAAGTATTGAATGATACAATAATTTTGCCTTGTGCAAATAAAGACCATTTTTTAAAATTTCTACGATAATTTGTTTGTATTACACTCGGATTCATAATTGTAATAAATGTATAATTATTTAGTATAAAGAATAATAATCAACACAACAGGAATATAATCATATGGAAAACGTTTTGTTTTTGGAAACCTTTCATGGAATTACAATTTCATATTTTTTATATACTGCTTAAAATAATGTAATTGCTAAACTTTATACTTTGTTTTGCAATTAGTTATATTTATGATAATTTAAAAATCAAATCCTAGCATGCATTAATGAGAAATATGTCTATTGATGGATAATATTATTATTCATACATTTCTAATGGCTATGATTCCGACATGCAACGATCGTTCATTGCAAAGTTTTCAATTAGAATAAATAAAGAAATATATATATATATATAATATATGAGCTGTGTTCCAGTACTGTTTTACTTCAAACATCAAATCAGTTAAATGTCAAAATCGTATAAAGAGTTTTTACTCTATGCACACAGAAATCAGCATTCCTTCTGTTTTTCCGTTACACACATTTATCGATTAAATTAAAATTTATTGGAATTCTATTTTTAATTATTTTTTTTTGTGAGATGTACTGCAACACAGCTGTAGTATTATGTTTCATAACATCCCGTGATAAAAAAACAAAAAATATTTAAATAAAAAAATCTGTGCTAACATTAAAATACTCCCAAAAACTAGTCAATGGTAGGACCTGGCAAATATTGTCATTTGTAGTGCACAAATACGAAAAAAAAACATTTTATGTAGGGAATAGATGAATAAGAAATAACAATTGAAATAGTTTTTAACGACATACCATCCATATTTTTGGAGGGGAACAAACAGACTCCCATTAGGAACAACAAACTTCCCACAACAAATACTGCTATCATTATTACTGTGAATGCATCAAAACCACCAATCATAAAAGGTTGAGGTGCTGGTGGTTCTGGTGGCGGAATGGGACAGGATGCCTCGCAATCGGTACAGGAACATGCCGGTGTCTTATCCTGCAAAAAAATAAAGCATTAAATATTGTAGATTACTTCAATATATATCACGAATTCCATGTATCGCACTGTTACAACGTGCGAAATATAATCGTTTGTTTAGTTAAGAAAAATTTGTTTCCGAATTTTCTTTTGGAATTTTTATTAAATAGTTTTTCGCCTTTTACATTACCTGTTAATTTTTTAATGAATAGGTTTGTAAATTTCGGAGATATTAGGAAAAATTTAGCGTAAGCACGAGCTACAAAATTTTCCCTTTAAAAATTGGATATCAGTTTCGATATGAAATTTCGTCGAATTGGCTGGAGATAAAGGTGCATTTTTTACAGCTATAAGGGGTTATTCAAGATTATATTGACATTTAATTTTTTTGAGAAAAAAATTCTAACATATACTTTTTTAACTTTGAACACCGTCACGCACATGTTACACTCGTAACGCACACATGTACTAAAAAAATTAAATTCAAAACAGAATGTTTTAAATATGCTAATTCTTATACCCCACACAACTATGTTGTCAGGGTATTATAGCTTTGTGTGGCCCCAAGTCCTTTAGTATATCATTATGCAGTTATGGACCAATCGTCACGAAATGTTTGCCTGTAAGTCCGGTTCTAAATCAACTTAATGAGGTAGAATGTAACATGTGCGTGACGGATACAAAATTTTTCGATGGAGATAGAAGACAAACTTAGTTATTTTATTTGAGTTTGCCATCTCAAGACCCACACATAACAGCATTATAAAAAAATCTCATATTAGAGTCTGTATAGAAACATATGTTAATTTTGTCACGCACGCGTTACATATTTTCTTACACTATTTAACTGCACTTACCACGGGATTCTGTTGTTATATACAGGTTTATAAATATTAATCAATTAATTTAATTAATTTTTTTGCAACAAAGCCTAAATGGCCATTGATAGTTACACAATACAACAATTACACTGTGCGACACGAACATTTTTCAGGCGTTCTAATGTACCAATTTTGTTTAGTTGGAGTCCCTGGACCACGAAAATACCTTTGGTTTTTCTGGGTCACTTCAAAAATTAATTTTATAACGGTAAATATGGAGAAAAACATGGTTTCATGGATTTTTCATTTGAAACTTGAATAACTTATTTACTTTATAACGGATTTATATTATTCTTTTTTTCTTTCGAAGAGTACAATTTTTCCTTGCAAACAAGATATATATTTGGTAAATCGGTTGAGGATTGGCTGAGTTACAGCGGTTGAAATGTGAAAAAATACGCATAAAAAGACAAAATTTATTTTTCTTCGGACTGTACGATGAAATTATGATATCAAGCCATACAAGTTTTATTATATTACGGAGAAGAAAATTAAATTAGCTTTCGAAAATGATAAAAATCAAACAAATCGGTTAAAAAATGGATGACTTATACACATTTTTGTATAGATTCTATGCATATTCTCTAAAGGAACTATGGGTCTATCTCGTTTCCTTTTGCCTGTTGCAAACATAACGGTTTGTAACAGGAAACGATACAGACCCATATTTCGTTTAGAGAATATGCATAGAATCAATACAAAAATGTGTATAAGTCATTCATTTTTTAACCGATTTGTTTGATTTTTATCATTTTCGAAAGCTAATTTAATTTTCATCCCCGTAATATAATAAAACATATATGGCTTGATATCATAATTTCATCGTACAGTCCGAAGAAAAATAAATTTTTCGCCTATGTGGTGGCCTTTTTTGTGGAATTCGTGATATATACATATATGGTTTATATTACATACATTTAATGGACTACTGCAAGGAACTGTGGCTGGATCAAGTGGACGGTAACCGTCAATGACTGACGAGCTGTTTTCATGCTGAACATAGGTGATTTGAAAAGGTACATACAAGTTATCGGCATCACCCATATATGTAAACCACTTAGTAGCACTGCAACGAGAAGCAGTATGATCGCCACAAACAATATCCATGGCTAGCTGTCCCGTTGATGGTACGGATACCTGAAAACATATAGATGAGTATTAATTTCTTGACAAAGCAATATTAAAAACATATATTAAAATGTCATCCAATTATTAGTAAGAAATTTTGTTTAAAGTTTAAACTATTTTTTTTTTTAATCTGGAAAAGATGAAAACAGTTTTATACTTAGATATGCATATATGCAAGTTGCCTTATATTTTCTTGAAATTAAAGGATCTTTACAAATATTAAAATGAAAATGTGTACAGAAGAATATCTTACCTGAGAGCAAGACCTGTATGTGCTATTCGTGTAATTGGCCGTTATATGTAAATCGATATTGTTGACGTATAATTTACCTATTGAGGATGTAATACAAACGGAAAAGAAACCCATTAAATCACCACATTTCGAAATCAATTATTGACAATCTCCATCCTCCTCGAAAGACAAACAAAACAACAAATAAACTTACCGTCAGTATTGGTTTTAGTTTCGACGACATGCATAAATTCCGATTGTTTAGGTGAGCAAGTAAATTCGCATAAATGCTTCACCAAATTTGCCATACACGATGGACAACGATCCAGAAAATTTGCAGCTAATTTGATATTCTTATTTAAAATTTCCACCTAAGAGCAGATACAACAAATTTGCAATTCATATAACGGAAAGACGAGGGCTGTTGTATTTATAATACCTGTTTACTATCACAGCAAAAATCCGATGCGCCATTCTCTAGCAGGTGACCGCATCGTTCCTTCAACAGATTACGACCCTCATCAGAAATGGGTTTGGCCGTACCATTGTAGGCACAGTACTGGCTACGATCATATGCATCGACATTGCAGACACCGTACCACACGCAATCCTGAAGAATAGAAGGGAAAATCAAATCATAAATATAATCATGACATTATCAAAAACTCTATTCTATATTAATAATCTTTTTTAATTAAATGAATTGTAATTAATAATCACATATTCTTATTGAATATTTATATACGCCTGTGGTAGTTCAAAGAAAAAAAAAGAAAGAAAGTTCAATATTTTTATATTTCAAGTAACAATTTAAAGAATCCATTATGGTTTTAACCAACCACAAGAGATTGACACCTTGTGTAATTAATTCAATTACTTTCAGTTTGAAGACATTTTTTTCTTATATAAAGTTTCTATTTATATACCCCAAACATGATGAAAATGCAAATTTTGTGAGATTTTTTTCCAAAAGAAACTAACTAAAAACTAACAAAATATTACAATTATGTTCATTTGATCATAGAAGTGTTATATTGATATTAGGGTTCCATCAATCATGTATACATATGGAAGGCCTTTACTGTACTTTCCTACTCCATACCACTGAAAGCTTTGGAGGAAATATTATTATAACAAAGCACATTAACTAAAACTAATTATGATTTTTTTTTTTTAATTTACTTAAAGGGTCAAGTGAAATGGAGTATGAAGTGATGCTGATAATTCATTCAAAAACAATAATATTTTTAGCATGTGTCTCTGATAAAGTTAATGTTTAATTCGCTGCTTATCTTACAGTACAATCATATTTTAATTACCTTCATTGGATTATACGATACATGCCAATAATGATGATGTGTGTTTAAAAGCTTTAATTGCAAACAAAAAACAGCTCAAAGTGTCACATAAACATACATATATTTACAATAATAGTCATCCGATAGCCCGAATTAATATCACGTTCAAAGTACGCGACATTATATACAAGATAAGGTAAATGTTCAAAATAAAATTGAAATCTAAATTAGTTCAATCCTAATATACTATGTATCAAGATATTTTCAAAGGAATTCTCCAATCGACAATAATTTCTGCGAAAATGAAGGATTTTATATTTCATATATACACATATTATTTAAATATAAAATGTTGATAATTCTAATCCACTTTCTAATGCACTCAATTTAAACTTTTCATCACAAAAAGTTAGTCTGAAAACAATTAACAAAACGTTTGTAATGTCAAAACATATCTTTTGGAATATAGTTATTGGAAATAATTGAATAAACTTTTTACAGGCTTATTCTTCCCTATGATCTTCTTTATGAATTGACTATTTCAATCCACTGTATTTACTAAATCTGGAACAATATACTACCAGTCTAATCTTTGTAGAGTTATAATTGTAATATGAACTTCGATATAATATCCGAATAAATCTATAAATATTGGGTATTCGAAACTGAATAAGGCAAATCAGATTCAGAGCGGAAACGCTTTGGAGTAGTTTACATTATTTATCCAATTATTGAGGCATTGCAAACAATTATGTAATTCCAATGTTGCTTCAAAACCATAAACCTGTTGCTAAAATGTGAAAAATTAATTATCATTGAAGATGGTCTTAAAGCTGAGTCTGTTAAGTTTTTACAAACTAAAATTTTTTTGAAGTTTTCAACCAATGGTTTGAAAAAAAAGAAAGAAAGTAAACCATTCAGATGGCAAGAAGAGCATATACGCAAAAGCCTTTTACTCATTTCTTTTCAGGTACCCAGAATGAGCACAATGGACAAATGTCACTGAGTGACGTAACCTAAGCCTTGAAGTTCCACATAAGCAAATGACAATTAATGGTATTCAAAAAAACTTTTGTTCTCAATGAAATGAAAACTGAAATCCATATTTTTAATTATATAAAATACTAATAAAAATAAATATTTATAAATAAATTAAAATATAGTTTTAAACTTTTTTCTGTAAGAATAAAGTAATACAACGAATATTGTTTTTCAATTCAGAATGTATGTGTTTTGTGACTTTTAGCCATATTATGTTGAAGGATTTTTAAAACGGTGATAAAAGCATTTTTTGTATCTCGTGTAAGGAATTTACTAGAATACGATTAAGTTGTATGGATGCATTAATTATGCAATCTTATACTAACATGAAATTAATGTTAAAAATAGCGATCTACGAATTGTAAAATTATTGAAAACAATACTGTTTATCAAAATTATACTTAAAAAGCAAGGAACGACAGAGTTTAAATCATTACAATTCAATGTAAATAGTATCTGAATGTTTTGTGTATATTTATATGAAATATCAGTATGCACGTTGATAAATAATAAAAAAATAAAATAAAAAAACATCTTGACAACCCATACCCGTTTGTGCGTACATATATATTTACAACAATTGTACCCATGGAAATACTACGTCGCGTATAAATCGCATGAATGACTAATTAAAAGCGGACATATTGAGATTTAATTTTGCTTTTCCATTAAGTGGCCTCTATGGGCATATTATGTATTGCTACTGTTAAGAGAACATTTTCAGATATGGGTTACACATGTAAACAGATGAGAACAAAAGCAAGAAATATAAAAACAAAAATAACAATGAATGTGATAAGAAAGTTAATAGTCTAATATAAAACTATTGAGAATTGTTTTAACTCTTACTCGTAAAAAAACTATTGAAATTAACTATTAAATTAACCAATATACATTATCAAACTGAATATGAATCAGTCTGGAAGCAATAAGCAGTGGCAGAAAAAAGATAAAAAATTCAGCTGCAAATCTCTAGAGTATTTCTGCCATTAGTGGAAAGACGATAACACGAAATACATATATTTCTAAATAATATTTGAAATAAATGACTGTTTTGCACTAAGCATCCTTAATGTGCAAACTGCACTCACTCAACCAAAAAAAATTGTTTAATACGTCACAAACAATTCTTTTTTGTTGGGCATAAATTACGAATGAAATGAAATTTACCGGCTAATAAGTATTGAATGTATACATTTTTTTATTCAACATTAATTTACGTGTTATTATTCGGGGGAAGGTCAATGTGGAAATGGTGATGTCACAACCACCCTGTACAGTATACATATTAGGGCCAGTTAAAAAGGAATTTATGTATTATATTCACAGTTACAAAATACAGTCGAGTACGCTTATAACGGAATAAAATATAAGCATGGCCCTCAGGATCCATTTATGTTTTTTTGTGCAATAAATTCTAACCTAAGCACCATAATCATCTAAATGTACTTATTTTTGCAAAAAAACCAAATATTAAAAGAAATGATAAATTGAATGCAAATAAACAGAAACGATGAAGTTCATATGTATCTATTGATTGCCCATTAACAATCGAATATTTTCCATATTTTTCAAAAAATAAATGTTCACATTAAATAAAAGAATTTGAACAAAAAAGCAGTAAACAAAGGTTTTGTACCCTACACAAGAACTGAGCAAAATTTCCGAATTTTTAAAACGAATAACATGTTCCTATATTTGTTTTCTCTATTATGATCATATACGTTAACATAATTGGGATCAATGCAAAGTTCATTTTCAATAAGATATATTTTTTATTCTTAATTTAATTCAACAGTCAATGTTCATTGGAATATTGATCGTTTGCCAACGAAACATGCTGTCTATAAGTCACCCTACACGACATTATATATGATGAGTGCAGGGATACATTGTAAACGCTGGGTCTATGGCCTATATTACATAACATAGCGTCATTTAAGGTCGAACGATTTTTGTTAATTGTCCAACAAAGATTACAAATTTCTCATCAATTGCATGCATTATGTTATTTGTGTGAATATGGTCAGATAACTAGCATATAGGGGCACTTTATGCTGTCATAGTAGCAGAAATTCATGGACGTCAATCATTTATTTAATTTTTTTGTTTTCTTTTGTAGTCTGCACCACGGCACCCCGACTTCGTATGATTCTGGGAAATGTCGTTTTTATTCTTTTCATACAATTGAACTTTCATTTAATTCAATTTTATTTAATTAAGAAGTCATCAAATTGCAGAAGAAAAATTCTACATGGTGGGGCAAGATATTTGTGAAACTATAGATTGTCGTATGTTTTCACTTTTTCCATTTACCCCTTCTCCATGGAATATATATATATATATATACAGGCTCTATGGGGCGTGAGGAGTGTTGCTGTGTAGTTTGAAGTTTATCCGACAGATGGCGCAATATTTATTTTTTTTCTGTTTTTGCACCGTAAATCAAGAACCACTGCACCGATTTTGACCAAACTTTATGTATATGCTCTATGGGGCGTAAGGAGTGTTTCTGTTTAATTTTAAGTTCGTCCGACAGATGGCGCTCTGAAATTAATTTAAATCTACTTACAAAAATGATGAAAAAAAAACGTATGGTAACTCATAAATTTGAGAACCGATTTGATTAAAAATTTCTCTCAGTTATCTGTAATTGAAGTGGAAAAGGATTTTTTAAAAGAAAATTTTGTGAAAAATACGCGAAAATCTTGAAAAACGCATTTTTAAGAACGGCTGTACCGATTTGCCTACAATTATGTGGGTCATATACCATAAAGTGATACTATACCGACAATTTACAGAAAAGTACTAAAAATGTCTTTCAGTTATATGTAATTGATGTGAAAAGGTTTTTCAAGGAGCGGCAGGACCGATTTGCCTACCATTATGTGGGAGATATACCATAAAGTGATACTATACCGACAATTTACGGAGAAGTTCCTTACCCTACATGAAATAGCGAATTGAAGGCAATTTATAGGGTATTTGTTACTACTTTCAATGTACCTAAAATCAGACTATGCAAAATATGGACCAAAAATCAGGAGGCCTAAAAAAACACAATAATGGCGAGCCAATTTTTCTATGTTATAAAACCAACACATGGAATATACCCCACACGATATCTGAATTATTGGCTGAAACTTGAACGTATTCTAATTAGGACTCGAAACCAGCTATATTTGTGAAAAAGTGAAAATACATATACATACGTTGTTATGTTTAGGATATACCAAAATGTCCATTTAAAATGTTCAATAACTGCTACAAAAGATTGCAAATACCTCAACAATTTAGCTAGCTATGGAAGGTA